TTTTTTTGTATTGATATTTCTAATTAAATGTGATTTGAAGTTTATTTGTTCTTAGGCTCTAACGAGTGTAGTTGAAGCGATGTGAGATTTCTCAATCATATTGGCTAAGCTAAACTAGTTAAACTGCGTTTACTCTTGAAGATAAATAGATATTCTGTTGTAGGATTCTGAACTTTTTTTTTTAATGGTCAGGAGATTAAAAATTTTTTGTCAGGAGCACTGTTGATAGAATGGAAAGTGAAGGTATAAGGACTGATGAGACAATAGTGTCCAACTTGCCTGTTTCAGAACAAGGACAACGTGAAAGCAGAGATGGCATTTCAACTGTTGAGGGAAAGTTAGGCAGCTCATTGACATTAGAGGATATCCAAAATGAGAAATTTAATTCCCAGGTAGAAGTTCACGGGGATTTATACAGTAAGGAAAATCTAAGCACAGGCTGTAATGATGAAGGAGATGGGTCAATGCACCAGCTTCATGTGTCTAATGGTTTTAATGTCCAAACAGAAGAAGAGGAAGCTTTTTCAGAAGATAAAGAAGTGGACCCTGTATTTGATGGAACAGAACGTCTTGAAATGGAAGCAACCGGTTCTCTTAGCTTATCTCCAGAACAAGACTCAGATCTGCAGGCCTCTGCTTGGCCAGAAAAAGCTGTTGCTTTTAAAAATTTTGTCAAGGACAAGGGATCAGTTGCAGTGTCGACTGTTCTACGTCGTCTTTCTGGCAAGAAGGATGGCGATTATGAGGTGCATTGTGATGTGGAAGAGGGTGAAGTTGCATTTAGGGGAATTAAAGAGGAAGAAGATTCAGGCACAGAATTTAAACTAAAGGACGTTTTAATGAAGGCGGGAGACATATCCACATGGAATCCTCTCAACTATATCAAGATTGGACGAGATGTAGATATACAAAACATGGTGGCACAAGCAGAAGAAGTCAATGATGGAAAGACTGTAGAAGAGCAAGCAATGAAGGGGAGAATTATTGTATACACAAAGCTGGGGTGTCAAGAATGCAGAGGGGTTAGGTTATTTATGCGTCAGAAGAAGCTTAGATATGTTGAAATTAATATTGATATTTATCCTAACAGAAAGCTGGAGTTGGAGAAAGCTACTGGATCCTCAAATGTTCCACTAGTGTACTTCAATGAGGTTCTGATAGGTGGTTTGGATGAATTGAAGCTCTTGGAGAAATCTGGTATGCTTGATGAAAGGATTAATGCCCTTGCAAAGGATGAACCATCATCTGCAGCTCCTTTGCCACCATTGCCTGGTGAAGATGATGTCACCGGTAGTGGAAAGATTGATGAGTTGGCTACCATTGTCAGAAAGATGAAAGAGTCCATCGTCGTTAAGGATAGGTTCTACAAGATGAGAAGATTCATTAGGTGCTTTCTTGCCTCCGAAGCTGTGGATTTCCTGGCAGAGGATCAATATCTTGAAAGAGAAGATGTTAGTTGACCATCTCATATAAAATTTTATTTAAAAATCATTCAATATACTATTTTTCCATGAGAAATTCATGTCTTTCTTTATGTTCCTTACAAAATAGTTTGAAGCTTCTACCTTATAGACTAGTTTAACAACTATGATACTTGATTGTTAACTTTTGGCTTAAAAACACAGGACAAGAATATTTCATTTTTCTTTTTTCCTTCGGTATTAAGAGGTGCATATATGAAGAGACAGCCTAGAATAGATAAAAACAAACTAGACATAAGAATAAAGAATCAAAAATAGTAATTATGCGGTGAATTCAAAATTTTTATTCTCCATCTTACAGAAAGTTGAGAAAGCAAATTAAGGAATTAGTTTGGGAGAAGGTGGATTTTCCAGAACTAATCCTTTAGGAGTCAGCGCATTAGCAACAGGGAGTTATTGCCATGCAGCACGAATAAGCAGTTTTTCATCTTGGAGAGGTTCAATAGTTGGCTGGGCAGCAGGGATTTATTTGGTTTCCTTCTCGGAGAGATTCTACAACTGGTGGAGTAACTTTTTTTTTGCTGATTTATAGATCAGGGATTTATTTGGTTTCCTTCTCGGAGAGATTCTGCAACTGGTAGAGTGACTTTTTTTGCTGATTTATAGCTTTGCTGATTTATAGATTTTCAGTTGCGTGCTGCATCTTGGAGAGGTTCCATTGTCTGGTTGGTTGCCTGGAATGAATCATTAGATAGAGGAGAGAATGCCAGGCTGCCGGCCTTTCTCTTATTTTATTTGTGCTGTTTTTGAATAATTCTAGACATGAAATCATGATCTCCAATCTCCTCCACAAGCTAAGAATATACGTTGATTATTCCTATCTTGGAAGCAAGAGTGTCGAATTGAACTTGGTTGGGTGCTTTAGCAGACATATCGACAGTTTCAGGTATTATCAGAGTGATAATTTCTTATTTTTTATTTTATTTTATAAAGTGTGTATCAATCTTGATATGCTTAGTCTTATCATGGTAGATAGGGTCTTTAGCAACGCACTCTGTAGGTTGGTTGTAGCACATCATAAGCTTTGATTTTTGACGCAATCAATTAGCCATGACCGTGAATTAGCTTCAGTTGTACTTCAATAACTGCTTTCTTTCGCTTTCCCAAGTGGTTTAATTTTCACATATCAATAACCAATTGCTAGAAGTGAATCATTGATCAGTTATAGACCTCACCCAATCATTATCCGTAAAAATTTCAATGCACTATTTGTTCATTTCTTGAAAATATCTTTTTATGATGTATTTTAAAGATAGTTTAGCATGCCATATACAATATTAAAATGTTTTTCCTTATGATTATCCTCGTATTGACTGACTGCCCTAACTGGAAATTAGATTTTAGGCCTATTATAAGAGAGATGGATCAATTTCTATACCAATATTTGGTATTTTCTTTTGTCAACAAGTTCTGAATCTTTCTTAGTTTCGGCTTTGTTTGGAGGGATCTGTTGGAATGTTTGTAGGCTTACATCATAGTATGCCAG